TGTTCTCTTTGCCATCACCCCTTCATGTCTCGTTTCCACTCCCTATGTTTACTCTCATCCACGTTCATATAACTCAACCCCATGTTTAACAACCTCGTGGGGTTTTAACGCTCAACGGGGCTTTGTGATTTTCTAATTGAGTTATTGCAGTCAGCCCGCTGATGAGAGCTCAAAAAATTGTATTACCTTTGAATTTAAATAAACTATCGTTGTTTTGGTTCTTAGGATCCATTCAAGTATTTCTCTGGCTTTTAGTAATCAATAGTCGATTAATTGCCATCCAATTCCCTGCTAACTTATAACGTCTTGATGTCATCCAAGCTAGAAAGCTAGAAGTGTTGAATAAAATAAGCTCCATTATGATGATCTATGCTTATTTTAGCACACTATATACTTTACCAAGTGATTAGAAGAAGTCTAAAGATGTATTGAAACATCAACTTCATACCTACGTGTCCAGCTAGTTGATCAGCAACCATCAACAACATCAACTTTTGTGCTAATTGGATCTCCAAGGATTTTAAATAAATTACAAACACTATTTATGGTTCAGATTCGTAGTAATCTACTTGTTGGATTGATCAAAAACCTTTCAAGCAACTAAATATATTTATTATTCCATGGAGAGTTGGCCACAATTTACCAAAAAATAAAACAAACATCTAAATAAACTTGGGTTGATAAATCATCATTGTTCTGCTACATAGGATCTATCCTAGCATTTCTCTAGAACTTGGATTGTGATCAATAGTCAATTGACTCTTTCCAAAACTCTATCCAATTCCCTTCATTGCCAATCAAATTTACCGTCCAATTCTTCATCTTCTTTTGGGCTAATAAACTTCGAGGAACCCTAGATGTTGGACGACCTTTTTGCTCACTGACCTGACAAAACCCTGATGCAGCAGGTCTCTCTGGTCGTTGACTTAAAACAATCGATATGGATTACCAACTCCAGCTAACTTGGACTGTGTTCTTATTTCTATTGCAATGCAATAATCAAAAGTTCTTGATATTCCACTGATGATTGAATTTTGCTCAACTTTCAAATTAATAAAATGATGGGATTTTTTTTTGTTGGAATTATACATTTTAGACTATCCCCTTCTTCTCTCCAGTTTGTCAGTCTTTCATGACTTATCCAAGCTTACTTCTGGAAAGAAAGCAACTTGGTGACATCAAGAGTCGAACCCAAATCCTTCCAGCTACATGCTAGGATGCTTTACCACTTGAGCTATCCTACACTTGTGTCTAATTTCCCACCTCTCGTGCCTGAATACTTACTAAATATTTTCATTCTTCCAAGCTGGATTATTTTTTTCTGCTACTCCTAGACCTTGGAAGAAATACTTTCCAAATAGAACTAGCAATGTAACTCTTTTTCATAAAGCATTAGATTTTCCAACAGAAAGAATGATTACAAATCTCCATGCAAATAAATTTCACCATTTTTTTTTTTGCTCTAAAAAGCACACATTCGTGCTTTCAGTGGTTAAGAGGCAAAATAAAAAAGAAGAAATAGTTAATAATTTTTATTATTATTTACTTTCTAATTAATTTTTTGTGCAGATTAAACGACCACTTTTTACATCAAGTTTTATTTTGAAATAAAGCTTTTTATCTTTATTTCACATGAGAATGAACAATTAAAATACAAAATTTCGTTAAATCAGTTCATGTTGTATGATAATTTACCCTCTTATTGTCAGCAACAAAAATTACCATAACTACAATTTATTCAGCTAATTACACTTGATGATTAAAAGAAATTGTTACAAATGTCGCAGTTGGCGTGACGCCTTAGAATGTAGGCGAGAAACGAAGCCTATCGATCGTAACTCTAGACATATTCAAGAAAGTACGAACACATTTGTGGGTATGCGGGTATACACACTAGTGGGTTGGATCAAGAGGTAGACTGTGGTATTGGACGATAGCATGAGTTAGAAAAGGAAGCAAATAAAAACTATAGATATAAAAAAATGAAATCAAAGTAAATAAAATTAAATGAAAAGAAGGAAAAAAAAATAATAAAACCGACCAACTTTTCAACTCGACTTCTTCGTTAGTTCCGGAAATGACGCGGGTCGCTTGGAATAATTACATTGGCTAGAGTTCTGGGGGCTCTCTGTTCAATGTGGAGTTGGAAAAGTAGAAAACAAGCACTCATTACGATAGCGAGAAACTTGGTGGAGTTTGAATTGTTGAAGAAAATGGGAAAGAAAAATTGTTTTTCGAAAAATAATTTTTTTTTCTCTCCTTTATCATCAAAATCAAGCCTCCCATCATCAAGACGATTATTTCCAATAATTCTAACAATGATTCCAATTGATATATTCAATAGAAATAATTTCTCAAAGTCTGTATGTATTTTATTGAAGCATAATAAATTGTTCATTCAGTTGGAGTCAGATTGACATTGTTGATAGCATTGGAACCCTGGATCTCATCTCTCCAGAAGTCCAAAACTGGTCTGTCCTGATGGGTTTAAACCTTAACTGATTTCAAGATCATATTCCCCAAATACTTTGGGTCTTGAAAATAATTTGATAACCACTAAATAATATAGCACTTACTGAAAGAATCGTTGTGAAGGCAGCTGGAGATTTGAAGATGAATATTAAAAACATTAGCAGGTGTTTGAACTTATTGTCAATAATGAAATAATATTCTTGAAGATCATTTTTGATCAGATCATTCTCTTATTAAAACAAAAATTGATGATGATAGTATGATAGCTGTATTTAATTTTTAAAAAATAATGATCAAATCTATCAGTTAGAAATCAGTTGGGTAGAATGAGAATTAAAAAAAGATGAAAAGTTTTTTGACCTTAAAAACACTTTATTTCAAGAATTAGATTATTATTCATCAGCATAGAGATAATAAAACAGATTTCAGCTAGACCACAAGAGCAATATCTTTGTCATCACCTTAATTAGAAATATTCAATAAATACTTCAATAAAACCCAGCTTCACAGTATTGAAAATTGACTCACTTAGAAGACACTTCAATATGTTTGTTAGCACACTTCTAGGTGTTGGCAACAATCAACAACCTATCATCGACATGTTTTTTGTCACATGTTGATGATGATTCTTGCTGAAGTTCTATTGAACTGCTTCAATCAATGTATCCAAGCTTGCTATCATCTAGAGCTGATAATTGATTAATAATTAAATAGCTAAAAGCTCACAAAATAAAGATACAGTTAGAAAAAAAAAGGTTCTCACACATTGACTTGCCATCAATTACTCGATTCTCTTGAAGCGAGACAATCGATGACTTCTATTCATCACAATAATCAGAAGCGATTTGAAATGGAATGTCCGCCAAGAAGTGGAAGGTAATCCTGTATCATCTACGAGAAAAGTGATTGGCGTGTAGACGCGTCTCAGCGATTAAATACTGATGGAAACCTAATGGCGGAAGATTCGTTAAAGGTCAAAATGCTGTCGACTGTCTTCTTTTTATCATGTTGGACTTGACATTCAAGCTGTAGAACAGCCAGCATGAAGAGAACATAGCAGAAATGGAAGCGGAACGAGTGCAAAAAGAAAAAGAGATCCAAAGTAGAGAAAGAAAGTGACTTGTAGATTAATCATTTTTTGTTTTCAAAACGTCCTTGGTCTTGATCCCATTCTCTTGCTTTTTCTCTGATGCCGCACATCTCCTAACGAGGAGTGGAATGCCATCAGCAAAGGATCCATGACTGCAGAGAAATGCCGAGAGAGCAGGTGCACGAATCAATGACGATACCACCACCACATCAATTAACCATGTTGTGATGAATTAAAAATACTAAGATAATAACTTGCTAAAGGCTAAATATACCTAAATGGACTCGGAAATAAACTCACCTTATTATACGGGTTAGCCTTGCTTCAAGTCTTTTTTTTCTGTTAATTGATTTTTCTAGAATCGATAACCCAAGGAAAATCCAAGGAAAAAATACGACAGGTGTATTGGTGATTTTTTCTTACATTATTTTTTGATAGGATATTATTGGTGAGGATCGATACAGACATGCTAGTGGATTGGGATAGGATTATTTTGAAAGTAATGGTCAGAGTGGTGAATAAAATAGAGGAAATTTGTTTCGTTATTTTAGGGATAGAGATATTGGAAAACTATTGACGTTATCTAATTCTAGGTTTGGTGCTGGTAAATAATAAAGATTAGGACCATTAATCAAAGCACTTTTATCCAACAAACAAAATACTCCAACAGTTTTAAAAAGCATGTATGCTATTATTTAGAAAGGCATCCAACAACCAACATGACTATCAAAGCTAATTATAAAGCAGGAAATGAAACAGTTGATTCCAAAAACTTAATGTTCTTTTGATAAAGCACAATATGTGTGTGTGTGAGTTTAATTACTCATTAATCATAATTAAAAAGACACAATAAGCTGCATCACTACAATATTTTTCCTTCCTTGAAGCTGTTCTTGACATGAGTCAAAGCATCTGGTGCAAAAGTACCAAGAACTTATCACCCAGATGACAAGGAATACTACCAGGTGTAGAGTCAGGTGGAACCGGTTTTGGTGATGGTGAGTGAGTCGAATTTGGAATGGATAAAAGTAAAAGGAGTTGAGGAAAATAAGAATAAACATCAAAAGGCGAAGAAATTAATGGTGTTTAAGATGTGTCACGAGATGCCAAAATCTTTGATGAATACCGCCACCATTAAGAAGTTAAAACCCTTAAATAATTACATCTGATTTCATTACGAAAAGCAGGGGAATATTTTCAACAACTTTGAAAGCAACAATTGCGTGCTATAAATGAGGCTTTTAATTTAACAACATGGCTTTTAACTGAAAAAATGACGAATAATTGAATCATTTTTCATGATATCTTTCAGACCAATTTACACATATTTATGGAAGTAATTTGTATTATTTCAGATTATTAGGATGATTGAATACCCAAACTATTACAGAATGCATATATTGATCCAATCTAACTGATTGCATGGTTTGTTTTGCAGGGAAGGGACGGCTCCACCCGGCCTACAGCCTAAGCGGCAGCGAGGGCGAGGATAATTCAGTGGGTCCACGAGGTGGTCGCGTTGGTTATTCCCAAAATAATCACCAAGCCGGCCAGTCACAACATAATCACTACAACACTACGACTAGTCAACATAAACAACGTGGTGGCTTCCAACAACAGCAACAACAACATCCACTCTATCACGTTACCGGAAGTGCTGCTGGTCTTAGTGATACTCCTACTTCTGGAAACGCTTCAGACGAAACTCTCACGGACTGTGAGCTCACACATCTTGCTCGTGAGTGGAACGGTGAGTTGGAGAATTTATTTGATTCCACTTGGATCCAACATTTAATTCTATTTTTTCATCTGAGTGATGGAGATCTTGGATGAAATATTCTTTGATGCACATGATCGCATATTCTTTAGCACCAGTACTTGATGACAAATATATTCTTCCAATAAAAACGATGATGGAAAAAATACCTTCAGCTGGTTTTATAATAATATATGCACTGAAAAGAGTTTATAGCTTTAGGAATAATGCTTTGAACTTTCTCTTGAATTTAATAAGTAAATCGTTACTGAAGGTTCATTACTGAATGTCAGTAAAAATGTACTTAAAGAGTCAGTAAAATTAAGTGGTGAATCTTGGAGACATTTACTCATTGTAAATTTTAGATTTTAAAACACTTAAAAACGTTTTAGAATTGAGACAATATTAATCAAATCGTTGACGTCATATTAAAACACTTTTAATGTTTTAAAATAAAACACTAAAATTTACAGTGCTGATGTCCAGTGAAAGTATACTTTTCAAAATATACATAAAAATGACTAATTTTGATTATAAATACTTTTTATTTATTAGATATGAACCACAAACGTGTTTTATTTATTATATTAAAAATAGTTTTGAGGTTAAGTCATAATAATAAATAATGAAATTGTTATAAAATGTATTGTGGAGGATCTGAGCAATTACTGTAGTAATAATATGAAACTTAAAAGCTTTGATTGAATGAAAAAACAGTTTTAGAATAATATTCATATATAATAAACAATTTTAATTTCACTAGTAATAAAGAATAAAATGTATTACTTACCAATTACAATCAATTCGCATTTCAATCCATGCTAACCCCAGATAGATAAATATGACGATCAAACAACACTAGCGAACTTCTAATCGGTGGCGAAAAATGGAATTAATGTTACTGCGTAGTTGGTAAAATGACGGAAAACTACTGAGTCTTCGGTAAATTTGTAGTTTACTGAAAACCATCAGCAACTATTAACTTTACTAGCTATTTTTAATATTGTCTAGAAATTGGACTAAAAACATGATAATAATAAATAGCATTCATCTCAAATGTCGTTAATATTATCATTTTATGATCAGAAGTGAGGTTATGAACGCGTCCAGTATTGCTCTAACAGCAATCTATCTGTAACAATACTTCCTACACCAATATTTTTTTTTCAATGTTGATTGTTTTCTTTTTTGATGATCAGCATCATCAGTTTCCTGGTAATCCATTTTTTCGTGATCCAACAAGAGTCCTGAAGTCTCTGATAATTTATTTCTGATAAGCTTTAGGAGCATTTGGTGTAGAAAAATGTCACCTAAAATACGCAAAAAAAAAGCATCAAAAAATAATACCATAAATTTTCTAGAGCAAAAATTTCTCAATAGAGAAAATCTGTCACCTTCATATTCTCTGTTGAAGCTCGTCGTTTGAAATTTAATATCAAATTCAAATAATCTAGAAATCAGTGTCGTAGTTCATATGCAATAATGTAAAGTCATGTCTCCACATAACTCAAACATCATGAACGAGACATGAAGTGAGGAAGTAGACTGGGCCACGTGCGGAGATTCGTAGCATGCTGGAGGGCTTACCGCGATGGTAGAGTATAGTACAAGCTTGTCAGCAAATGACGTATCGCCTTCGAAGGTGTTATAGGTCACACAGCATCTGCCGTGTCTTTGAATACACCCTTATAGTAACACCTGGATCATACTAGTACTCTATATAAAATTCATACCTCTAAATGTGTTGTAAATTTGCTCCAATTTCACCAAGAGATGATAAACATAGCACTTTATTAACTTAAACATTCTTCATTCTTCAACCAAGTCATCCAATAAATTCTTGCTTCTTGGAGAATTTAGCACAACATCATTGCTGATCAAATGACTTCTTGAGTTTTCCAACAAATCATCAAAACATTTAAGTCTACTAAATATCAAGTTTATTTGAACAATTAAAAAGTAATTATTCTGATGTTGATATTTAATTAAATATTAATTAATTCATTCAATTGATGCTCGGTTAAGTTTGCTAACTATTTAAACAAGTTTATTAATATTCATAACAACAGAAACTAAGCTCATAACAACGTCACAATATTTTTCTCCAACTAATTGAAGACATCAAAGTGTCATCTAGGAATGATAGAAAAATAAATCCATTTATCCAAAGTCATTTGTTGAAACAACATTATTATTTAAGTCCAAGTCATCATCATCATCATTCAGCAAAAGGACAATTGATCTACTTGGTTGCAATAAAACTCCATTGTTTGAGTATCATTTCAATTGCATCCCCATCTTCATTATTAAAAGCCCTACATAAATTCCATAGAAAGATGTTACCAGTGATGAATTGACTTTTCATTCTCATCACAATGACTCTCAAAACAGTAGCGTCCAAAGTAAAATATCCGGCACTTTGTCTTGTGGAAGTGGTTTCCGGATGAATAAATTCACTAGAAACAAGAGTTTCAAGTCATAGCTGTAGACAACAGAGTCTTGAGACACCATCGATCATCACGATTTATTCTTTGTTGAACAAATACAGACCCTTGAGCATACAGGATTGCGAATCGCTATCATTGATGGGGTTGTTTGGCGCCTAAGGCATCACCAAGTAATGGTTTGATCAATTACCTCTTTTGATTAGCATGACAGAAGCATCCAATATCATCATGAGGAGAACATTACACTGCTGTATACAGTGACGATCAGTAATTATAGCTCATGTGTATCTACTCTGGGAATAGAAACTGAAAAAGAGGGTTGTAATGTTTTCATTCAAACTCTAGGAATCGGAAATTATGTCCTTCCTGATGACACAACTCTTTTCTTGATCACAAGGTATTTATAATTTTATCTGACATTTTTTTCCAATCACCAAGTCCATCAACTTTGAAGTCTTCCAACATTTTCTTATCATCTAATTTTTATTAAATCTTTCAAAGGATTCTCATGCTTCAATTTTGCTTCCCAAGTACCTCTAGAAATCGGTCACGAAGTCTTCTAAACGATCTCATTATTTATTTCTTTGAAAAAAAATTATTTATCATCTTTTCCTAGCTTTTTTTTTGATGATCAAACATCAGCTAGGATACTCTTTCATCATGTCCCCAGCTATAACATGATTTCTTGACTAATAATAAGCCCTAGAGTCCCGGAGATAATTTAGGATATGACATAGAAGCTTCTATCCAGGATATATTGATAAATGTGTCTTCAATCATCGCCATAAGAATGGTACGAGTGACTAAGTATTTTTTGCAGTGGCGTGACGAATGTATCAACACCACGCTATATTTTGTGACCCTCCAAAGGGCTGGCATCCCCCAAGCTCTAATGAGACGGAAGCTATTCCGAGTATTCATTCGAGTTGCGATCAAAGTTCCGGGTTGGTCATGCTCTTGCAGACGGAATATATCAACCTGCGCAACGGAATTCCGTTTCGCGATGTAATCTACAGACTGTTGGGCATTCCACGTTCCTTTTATGTAAGACGTAGACCACAAATTGTGCTTTTCTTACTCCTAAATCCATGTCATGATGGAACAGTCATTTACATTCAGCCATTTGATATAGAGATGGTGAATGAGAATGACTCTAGAGTATCTATTATTGGTTTAATACGACCTAAATATGCTCTAGTAAAGTAAACATGTGTCAACGGAAATTCAAAGAGAATCATATCTCACCCAAGGATTGTATATACTAGTTGGTTAAGCTGTTCTCCAAGTCAGACAAGTGAATCCCGGTGATAGAAGGTCTAGGAAGTTGGAGCTAAGAGGGTCATTGATCGACTTTACAACCCTGGATGTGCTCCAACTTGGGATAATTGTTCAAATACTCTAGGATCTTAGGGTTTCTCAGCATTTTAAATAGTCTTCTTCTTTTTTTACTCATCAGCTCTACTCTCAGGGTAACCCTTTAAGACTTGTCTTGCTCTTACTAATGATGATAACTTTTGATATCAAATACTTACAGTTCATCTTCAACAAAGTGTTTTCCCTTACATCGATAATAGCACATCCCTTTGTCTTCTATACTCAATATAATTTCCGCAACGACAGCAATTGATATTCATTCTCGTCTTCAAACAGATCAAAGATCCCTCATCAGACCCTCAATGGGGAAACAAAATTCTCGATTTCCCCAAGCCGATCTCGTTAAACGCGATTGTTCAAAGAAAAATGCAGTTATGTCAAAATCACTAGGTAAAATGAAATAAAGGAAGACAAGTGAGGTTGCTAGTCGCTTATCTCGGGTTTCCTTGATCGACAACGAGAATTTCCCTTAGGAAAGGAATCGGTTTATGACGGCCTAGACAAACGGATGCTATATAGCAGCTCTCTGTAAAACAAGAACTTGGCAAAGATACAAAATAACATTTACCTTACTCGAGTTACTTCATCAATTTATGAACTATTTTTTTTATCAACATTGAAGATGTTTTCTATCTTTTAACTTGCTATTAGGAAATTATTGTAATGAGGTTGATTTCTGGAGCTTGATGATTCCATGATGTCTCCATGTTTTGAAGTATGGAGATCCATGTTGACTAGTTTTCAAGAAGATGTCTGTAGGTATGTCAGGGTTTTTTCCGTTCACGAAATCTCGAGGATGAATGAAGATATCGACTTTGTACTGATTTTATTCGAAAGATGATGCAACAAAGAAGATCCGAAAGAAGTTTCAACTAATTCGGTCGAGGTGTTTTTTTGATAACAAAGAAAGTATAAAATAAATAGAGTGATGGAGAATTAGAAATACCTTGTACCTATTGGATGATCAATATTAATATGTCATTGGGTCAATGTCAACAAACTACACATGACTCTTGACAACTCCATATTGTTTATAACAATTGAAATGAGTTATAAACAATGAAAAATAGTTGGCACCGATCAAGTGATGACTGCTGCTGACAGATTGGATCTGTATTAACAAAATACTCTTCTCAATCACCACACATCACTCTCACCTATTTCATATTGTTT